CCAATGGGCTGATTTCTTCCAAATACCCAATAAGATTTGGGTTGCAAACGTTTGTGGTGTGGATTTCAACATTCTTCAATCCCGGGCTTATAGCCTATGAAGTTAAATGGGCCACGATTTTTCATCATNGTAACATCAGCACAGTGAAAAAGAACGACTAGTGTCTAATATATATGACAGAATCAATGGCTGAACTAATAACCAATTTGATATGCTCACCTCCGAAATTTCACGGTCGTTAAACAAGCTGTAGAACTGTACACTGTAATTGTCTGTTGGTACCGCAACAAACCCAACAGTGTGATCGAAGACAACACTACTACCTGATCCTTCATATATATCAGAAACAGAATTCGGAAGCTGAAATTGCAGAAGAAAAGATTTCTTAAGCAGAGTGATCTATTACATAATTACACAACAACCCATGTGCAGGGGGAGTCTCTGTCCCAATTCCAAATCCTACCTACTCCCTCCCCCTAATAGGGAACGACAAGATATCTGTGACAAAATAGATAGCATAAATTAAAGTTGAAATCTTACTATAGATGTACATATTAGATCTCCAAATGCAGCTAATTGCCACTAATGATACTTATGAAAGTATTAATCATGCAAACCTATGGCAGATATTGACAACCGTGTGACAGCACGATCTTTGATGTAATGAAACTATGAAGATTAAAAATTTAGGGAAAATTGTTAAAAAATAATAATAGTCAGTTTGTAAGTACCGAAAAAGTACCTCTATTAATACAGGTTTTAGATAAGTTTGTCATTTGACAAACATTTCAAATAAATATGCAAACGGTCTCACATAAAATTTTTTATTGAAGTAATGAAAACAGCTTTTACTATTTTCTTTATTTTCATAAGAGAAAGACGGTGCTTATTGCAACGAACCTTAATCCCCGAAATGGACCTTGAGATCTCCATTGAAGGCATTCGAAGTAGATGAATCTGATTATTTGCACAGGATATCTGAAGAAACTTACTATTAAGAGCTCATTCACGAATGAAGATACAAGTTGATGGACCAAAAAAGAAGCCTTGGCTAAAACTTAGATGAATTTCTTACAGAGGATAGTGAAGGATCTGAAGAATTTGTGAAATATAGAAGTGGAGATCCAATTCGCGGAAGAAATTTTTTCTTCCCAGTGTCTAATTGCCATACCACAAAAACACCCTCTCTCCCACCTGGATCCAGTTCAAGATCTTATTATGACAAAAACACAATATGCACATATCTAGATTAACTATGAATGCAATAAAAATAAATAGAAACAAATGAGGATGCCTCCTAAAAATTTTGAACTACTGCCATTGACCTATTCGATAGTGTTACAAATTGCATATATACACCTGAAAATAAATAGGCACCATCAGATGAGAAAAAGAGAACATTCACTTCTGCAGAATGCCAATGCCATGTGGTGCAAGAATCAGCATCATCATTGCCCCTCACTCCAGGCCTTTCCTCTGCGTCCTTATTTAATCCTCCATTAATAAATTTATCACCGATAGAGAATGTTCTGTGACCAACACCTCTCCATAATAAGATCCTTCCTGTTACATCACCTGCTGCTACCACCCTTTCAGTAGGATGAAAAGCAAGAGTGGTAAATGTTTTCGTATGATGCAATCTGATTTTCTTATAAACAGTGTTATCAGAGTCTTTTGTTGGAATTTCCCATATCCGAAGCTTGTGCGTTTCGCATATTCCAATGTATTTCCCAGAAGGACTAATGCTAATGCAACCCGGTTTATGAGTCTGTAAAACAGTGAATACACTATCTCAAATACATGAACAAGGGTCAATTGGGTAGTAAAAAAATTGTTCACGGATGAAAAAATAAAAAATTATACAGCATGACACTCGATAAAAAATTATTTCGTATTAAACACATTATCCAGTGATATCCAGCATCATTTAATTAAGTGCTCTTAAAATTCTTTAGAAATAAATCATCAGGCATCTTCCAGCCGAGGTTACATAACTTCTCATGTTGGTCTGCATTGTGTAGCATTGATTTCTCTTTCAATATTTTGCACAATTTATGTGACTCTGACCATTTTTCTACTATGACATCTTTGATTTGCTCAATGGAAACCTATATTCTTTTACAATAAAAATTATTAAGTTCATAAGTTGGTAATTACATAACTATGAGCAATGATGCTGCTATTAAGCCCCTGTTTGGGCTCCGTTTTTTCAAAATTCATTTTCAACCATACATTCTCCCATAAAATAATATTACACGTAAACTCAAAACTTTTTCTTATTTTTTAACCACACGTTCTCCAAAAGAATCACTATTTCAAAATACATTTTTTCACACACTCTCATTAAAATGAAGCCCAAACAGGGGCTTAAAATGGATCTAGAAATTCGATTTCCTGGAACTCTTGAATTTTCCACTTCAATTAATCAATGAAATATAGACACAGACACCCTACATGTCACCTACAGGCTAAACCCAAATAGCTTTCATCCTATGAGGATAATTTATATTTGCTCAATTTCAAAGACAAACATTACGCAACCCTTAAAGAAACACAAGTAGAACGTGATGTAACGCAGACACATGATAGATGCCATGTTCCATGGCGTAGTTCTAACTGTAGCTAATCTATAGCAGCAGATGCCAAAAAAATTATTTAATGTGTATCAGTCATCTTTCATCTTACTAACTATAATAATAAAAACATATAGGCATCAACATCATGTAACAATTATTGATGTAGAAGTGTCCTATTACAAAAAAGATTAAGATATAAACATATGATGAAATTCTTGATTGTCTTAATACTCACAGTCTCACAGCATAACATATAGGTAATATATTCTACCTAAGACTCACATTACAAGGTAAATAACATATTTGAATATAATTTATGAGTTTGTGAGTGTAGTGCTTGAAAATTTAAACCATAAATAACATAAAGCAATGCACATCAATTAATGCATACCTCTGCCAAACTCACTCCACCAGCTAAACGAGATTTTGTTAAATTACACTTCCGAATCTGTCCACATGAAGAATTAGGCTGTCCTTCCCTTTGTCTCTCAGCTTCAATATAGATGTAAGCAAAAAGATTGGGAGACTTTCCTTTACTCTCCATTTGCTGGCTTAAGAGACTTGGAATCACCTAAATGCGTTAATTACATGCATTTGAGACACAGAACCATAAGAAAGATAAAAGCAACAGAAATTAAAAACAAAGAGCATTTCAACACGATATCAGTTTGATTACAAAGAATAATATAACAACTCAAAAAAAAAATAAAAAAATAGAGGGATTTGTGAAGAGCAAAAGCTCCATAAACATTAGTTACTCTAATAAGAAAGAAATAGTTTTGATACTGCGAGAATCAAACTTTTCAACGTCAAAGCAAACAAAAGTAATCAAAATACATTCCATTCAGACGATTGGGCACGAAGTTGATCTGACTCAGGAAGCTCCCTCAAGAACCAAGCATATTTAAATACATTCAAAAATTCGTCAAAATTAATTCAAGTCAAATTACCATTGAGTGGATTGGGAACCCAGCATCGATAGTCCTAATTAATTCTGGCGCCATGAAATCCCATAACCTAATTTTACCATCAAGCGATGTCGTCCAACAATGGCACAAGACTTTGCTAGCTGGAGTAGAAGCTGGCACTATTATCACCGACGTCACTGGCGCGCCATGGCCTTCCAGTTCACTTATCTACAAAATCACATGTTGCTATTAAATTTCGTAAAACAAACTAAAAAATAAGAAACTATAACTTGTAAAATATTGAGCAAAAATATAACCTGTAGGCCAGTCGAGGTACTGAAAATAGATACGGTATTGCCGGTGCAAACCAGGAGACGCTTGGCGTCGTTAGAAAACGCCGGCGGCGAGGATACTAAGCTTTTTCCGCCGGTGATCATTTTGTGCCTTCTCTTCTCTCTATCTTGAAATCACAAATTAGGGGCGTAGATTGGGTAAAGATGGTGACTTTTGTTGCAGTGTATAAACCCTATGATTCCTTTAAACCCTTGTAAACTGTTTACTGAATTTTGATTCCAATCCCAAATTAGTAGACCGGGCCTGAAACGATGGTGGATTGATGGAATGAAATCAGGCCCAATATAAGTGGCCCAATTATTGGCCCATGCCAAAATAAGACAAGGACCGCCGGCAACAAGTAACACTGCCAGCAGAAGCTACGCGAGTTAATTAAATCATCAATCACCAACATTTGAGTTCAGTTACTATTTGCTCACCCAGAAATAAATGGTTATCATTACGAGTGGGTGAAAGCTTTTTTTAATGGGTTCCATCACCCGTCCATCCAATTAGACAAAAATCTATACGTGACAGACGAAAATCTTATGTGGCCACTAACACCGTTAAAAATTGACAAGTGAATATTAATTAAAACGATTTCTTCTCAAAATTTGAATGAATTGTCATTTTTGAAGAAATCGTTTTAATTAATATTCACTTGTCAATTTTTAACGGTGTTAGTCGTCACATAATATTTTCGTATGTCACATAGAGATTTTTGTCTAGTTAGATTGACAAAAGTGAAACGGGTGATGGATGGATAATTTTTTTCCGAAGTGCGTGAGTATTCGGTAATTCTGGGAATCCAAATGTTTGTGATCGATGATTTAGTGTGTGTTTGGTAGAGATTTTTTGGGGAAAGAATTGATTTTGAATAGTGATATGATGGGAAATGTGTGGTTGAAAAAAAAAGATAAAATTATTAATGTGATAGAAAATATTATTTTATTGAAAAATGTGTGGTTGAAAATAAAAATTGATTTAATGTTAAAAATGAGAATCGGTACCAAACATTACCTTAATTAACTCAAGCGACGCACACCGCACAACGAAAGAGAAAATCCAAAATTCGCAGATATATAATTCGATTAATCGAACCCAGATTATTGATCCACACAAATCTTGTTAAAAAATTTCAAAAACCCAAATTTAATTGCACACAGTATATAAATTTCACTGCATGTCATCACCGAATAAACCTCCGGCGGAAGCCGTGCGATCACCGTCGGCGGTCCTTCGCCAGCCTGCCTCCCCGCGCTTCCCTTCCGGCACGCCCTCCGGGTCCCAACGAAAGATCGCGATTGCCGTGGATCTCAGCGATGAGAGCGCTTTCGCCGTGAAGTGGGCTGTTCATAACTACCTTCGTCCGGGCGATGCTGTTGTCCTCCTCCACGTCCGGCCCACCTCCGTACTTTACGGCGCCGATTGGGGTGCAACCGATGTCTCTGTTGACGCGGCTGATGAGAAATCTCAGCAGGAGCTCGAGGACGATTTCGATAATTTCACCACCACTAAGGCGAATGAATTGGCGCAGCCCTTGGTGGAGGCGAATATTCCGTTCAAGATACGTATAGTGAAAGATCATGATATGAAGGAGAGGCTGTGTTTGGAAGTGGAGAGGCTCGGGTTGAGTGCGGTGATCATGGGAAGCCGAGGATTTGGGGCGTCGAGGAGGAGCGCGAAAGGGAGGCTTGGGAGTGTGAGTGATTACTGTGTGCAGCACTGCGTGTGCCCAATTGTGGTGGTGAGGTATCCCGATGAGAAAGATGGGGGCTTTGCTAATGCTGCTGGTATTGGCAATGGGGGTTCAGCTAAGGCGGTCGATAAGGATGATTTGAGTCTGCATCCAGTGCCCGAGGAGCCGGAGTACCATGATGCTTCAGACAAAACTACAGGTATGCGATAATTATTGGATATGTATATAAGCATCAATTCTAGATATTAATGCCTGTTTTTGGTTGTGAGTTTCTTTATTGAAAGTTTGTGTTTTTGAATCATAATATTTCACTAAATGAGAGCTGAAATCAAGAGACAGAGCCAAGATTCTAGCGCGGGGCTAGTACTGTATTTTTCTTACGAGGACTTTGACAATAAGTACGAAAAAATTTTATTTATGTACAAGCTAATACAGACTTAGTTTAAATGCCCCTTACCTTTCAATATGGATATAATTAATGCAATATTTTAAATTAAAAGATTAAAAAGAAAAGACAAAAAGAAGTAGGAAGAAGATTTGGGATGATGAAGACCATTAACCAATAACATTGAGAGCGTTGAGTTTAATTAAAAAAGAACAGCATTAATTTTTTCATGGAGAAATTGAAAAAGAATAAAAAACAACGTCGTACCTCATTAAGTTGCTGCTGTTGAAAAAGTAGCAGCTTCAACAAATAATAATACTAGTCTAATCCTGCTGCAAGCCTATGAAAATTATGTGATTGGGCTCCATTAAAATGTATTTTGGAATAGTGATTATTTTGGAGAATGTATGGTTACAAAAGAAGAAAAAAATTTGGGTTTACGTATAACATTATTTTATTGAAGAATGTGTGGTTGAAAGAAGAAAGAGAAAAATGTAATAAATTAAAATGGAGCCCAAGCAATGGCTTAGTTCTACCTGATTAAGTTTCAATATATGATGTAAAGGAAGAATCCTGATAGGAATAGTAGAAAGCTTGAAAATCCAATATTTTATCAAATTTAGATTGTGGGTAGGGGTGGGGTTTGGATTTGAGCAGGGATAGATTGTAGATGGAAAGAAATTGAGAAAATATTAACTGAAGCACGAGGGAAATGGTGGAAATTTTGGGGTTCAATTGGAATTTGAACATTTGAATTTGGGTTGAGAAACTTGGGTTATACCGGAATGGGTATTGGCTTAAAATTGAAAGCAATTAATTAGGCTAACTAAATCTTATCAGGAGAGAGCTGACTAATTTTCTTTGTCGTGGGCTGCAAGTTATTTTATGGTGGGCCAATGTTATAAATCTCTTTTTTAACATTTTGTTCTTCGTGGGCTATAACCCAGGACTGCCCCTCCTAAATCTGCTCCTGATAAGACCACAGTTTGGATTTGTTATGATGGGTTTTCCTGATGGTTGAGCAATAGAGTGTGCGAAACGATTGTTGTGGGCAGGTTGGAAATGATTTAGAGATGTGTAACCGTGCAATGGGGGTTGATCTGTACGTGGATTTACTTGGGTTCTTCAACGTTCAACTTAAGTCTCTCTTAAGTGAAATGTAGTTCGAATCATTGGGATGTGAATAAAACCGCGTTGAGGCCCAATCCATGTCCACGTAGGCTAATACCTTTGCCTGAATGGGCAAGATGGGGAAGTCCATCGTCGTTACAAGATGGGTTATTCATTGGAAGTGATGAATATGATTTTAGATTCAGAAGAGCTTGTTAACAGCCTTCGTGAGGAAATATAATTGAACACATTCCTAAAGTACCACGTTAATTGATTCAAAAATTCAATGAATCCAGAAAGTAGGAAGCAGAAACTCATTAATTTAAAAGAGTACTGAGAGTTTGGACAGAAATTAAGAATGCTTAAAATTTATTCAGTATTTCATTTTATTTGGCCTACTATAATGAATCTTGTTTAAGCTACAATTTAGATTGAAAAGGTTACAGGATGCTAGTTCAAACTTAGGAGGATTACTTTGAAACCCAAAAGGTTTTAGGTTGAACCAAGACAGAATACATGTAATGCCACTTTAGTAATAGTAGGAAATAGGAATAACATTAGAAGATTGTGCTTTCCTAAAAACGATTGTTCTTGGTATCTAGATTCAATTAGCATAGGAATGGAGCAGGTAGGATGAATGAAACTGATGCTGGAAGCCTGTGATCCTATAAGGTTGAAAGGCTAGTTGACTCAAGGAACGTACCAATTTGACAAAAGGAACAAGAAATAAAGGGGATCAGAGAAGATAAGAAATTAGGGCAAAGAAGAAATCAATTTATTCATATAATCAAGGGTGTCTATTATATTGAATAAGTCATCCATATACAGAGCAAAGAAATTAAGTAGAAGCTAAAATCAAACGAACTTCTACTAAACTAAATTAATCTAATCTTTAAAATCCCATCTAAATTCTATTTTAGTCTCCATTGGTAGTTCTATCATCTATGTAATTGTAGTTAGACGTGCTATAGTTTATGGTATTGAGTGTTGGGTTGTGAAAAAAATGCCCAAAAGATGAACATAACCCTTGTTTGAGCCACATTAAAATTTTCATTCTCATTCTTATACTCATTTTCAACCACACATTCTTCAATAAAATAATATTTTTCATCACATAAATAATTTTTCCTTCTTTTTCAACCACACATTCTCCATCAATCTACTATTCCAAAATATATTCTTTCAAAATAATTTAGCTCAGACACACCCATAGCGGAAATTAAGATATTAAAATATACTTGTGATTTTATTAATATTTATATATAGGAAACGAGAATATAGGCCAACAAGTGGAGGTGGTGTTGATTGAGGATAAGTCAAGAGAATGACGGTTTAGATGGTTGTAACATGTTTTGCGTAGATGTAAAGAGGCTTCTGTTATAAGAATGATTTCAATAAAACATGTTAAAATAGGGAGAGAAAATTAAAACTGACAATGCCTGTGATAGTTGCTAAGGATTAGTTGCTTTAAATCTTCCAATAAATTTAGCAATAAATTGGATTGCTCAAAACGATTCATGGAACCAACCCCTAATTTATAGTTTGTTGTGGTGGTTAGCACAATAGATTTAATTTATAAGATGCAAACATTTTTTAATCTAGAAGTAGAAATGCTCCCCAAGTGTATCATTACGTTGTGAAATTCACTCCTAATATGAGCCTTAGTGTATACGATGGTTTATTTTCTAAAAAGATGTCAGGAAACTGGAGTGAAAATGGTAAAGGTAAACTAAATACGTTCCTCATCAATGAAGACCTTTGATAAGGTAAGCCACGTCTCATAACATGCTGTCATTTTATATTCAAAACCTGTGGGAACATTACAATTTTTTTATTATAGAGGAAAAGGTCCAGTGGATTCCAAATCCGTAGACATATTTTTTTTGCTTTTGAAGTGTCTTCACTGACTAAGTGATTCTTGAAGATAAATTTGACTTTTTTTTTTTTTGCACTTTTGAAGTGTGTCTTGACTGACTAAGAGCTTGTTTGGGAGATATTAAAATCGGATTAAAATTGAAAAACTAGTCGTTATTGTTGATTTTTATTAGACTAGTGAGACTTAATAACGACTATATATTCAATTTTAATTCCTCTCAAACAAACTCTCAGTAATTCAGTGTCGCTCAAGTAGTTTTCTAGACTTTATTTTTGTTCATAAAGTAATAACTTTTACATTTATATTCAATACAAAATAATGTTAAGCCGTTGTTTCTTCAGCTAAAAAATTGAATATCCCTCCCAAACAAGCTCTAAGTGATTCTTGAAGATGAGTGCCACAGAGGGTCCATACAGTTTTTCACCAGCTGTTGACCAAGGAAGCGCATCGGTCCTTTTGCCACCGTGGCTTCATTGATTAGAATTTCTTTGAATGTTTTAGTTACCATGAATTAAGGATGTATGATAACATTTCAGTAATAATCCGGACCTATATATAACCTTGATTTAGTGACTCGTAAGGTATTAATCGTGCATGTCTTCTACCAGACGATCTTTGATACTTTTGTTCACTATTTATCATCCTTTCATTTACATATACTGCAGATTTGGATAAAACTTCTTGAGCAAATGAGATTTGGAGAGAGCTGGGTATTCCTGAGCTAGTCAAGTGATCTCGATGAATATTGATTTGTGCCCTATGAGAAATTATGAATACTTTCACTGTGTATAGCTGGAAAAGAGAGACTTTATTTTGATGATTTTTTTTTTTTCATTCTATTCCTTTCCATGTGCTGTTGTAAGTTAAGCTTTCAAATTGATGATTTGCAAACTTATCCTTCCAGTTTTATTGTACCTTCAGTTTGTTTGGTATGGATTTTTGAGGGAAAAATTGATTTTGAATAGTGATATGATGGGAAATGTGTGGTTGAAAAAGAAGAAAAAATTATTGATGTGATGGAAAATATTATTTTATTGAAAAATACGTGGTTGAAAATGAAAACAAATACCCCCTTGATTATAATTTCAGTCTGCCAATATCCCTAGTGATGAATGACAAAGGAATTGGCAAAATCTATTTAGCATTTGTTTTTGCCTCATTATTTTTTTCAACCACACATTATTCTATTCATTTTCAACCATACATTTTCAATAAAATAATATTTTACATCATATCAATAACCTTTCTTTCTTTTTTCAACAATATATTTCTCATCACATTACTTCAAAAAAATGCACTCTCATTTTAATATGCAACAAACACAAGCCTCCATTTGGTGATTTTTATGCATGATCTAGCATCGAATACCGGACAAGATAATATTTTCCCATACTTCTAGACGTGGTGATCCCTACATATTCATGTACAGTAAAAAGGGGGATCGAGTCTGTAAAAGATTGGGGTCAATAAATGAAAATTCAATAGTTTATCGAGGGTGGGCTTATTGTATATCGAATCAATATAGCTATCATTCTTTTGACACGGCAATGCAATTTTAATCTGTATAGAAAGAAGCATAAATTATTTAGTCCTTCTCACAACCATTATTTTAACTCTTATTTTTCATACTCATTTTCAATCATATTTTGCCATTTGTACATCACTTTTTGCCATCCTTATTAATAGAAAGTGTGTTAGCAAAAGATTATTTGATGAAAAACAATTTTTTTTTTTTTAATTATCCAATGACAGAATGTGATGTGATATTTTGTCAAGGAAGCTGTCAAGGAAGATGTATAACAAGTATGCTTATTTTTAATCACGCATTCTCACAATAAAATATGTTTCATGTAAATTTAAAAAAAATTTCATACTTTTTAATTACACATTCTCTGAAAATTTATTATTCAGCCCTTATTCGGTATACATTCTTTTAAAATTCATTTTCAACCACACATTTTTCAATAATATAATATTTTCCATCACATCAATAACTTTTCCTTACTTTTTAACAACATATTTTCTATCATATCACTATTTAAAATATATTATTTTCTCAATAATATCTATCAAACACACCCTCAAAAACTCATTTACACAAAAAATGGTTGTCAAATTGGGGCTTACTTATCAACTACTCATTTTTATTTATTTATAAATAAATAAAAGGGTTTATTCCTGCACATTTATGCTCAACATAACAAATGAAGAACAAATTAGTTATATACACATTGGTCGATCAATTTAACACTAATGTAATAATCGATAAACGAAATGAAATATTTATTTATGTTAAATATAAAATTCATTGATTTACAGCAAAACCTCAAACAACATTCTTGATCTTTTCATCAAATCAGGACTCGATCTAAACATAAGAACACAAAATTCCATCTGATTCAGACACCCATCACCATCCAAATCACCTTCTTTCAACATGCAAATCAAATCTGAGTCGTTCATTCCACGCAACCCTAAAACTGCAGAATTCTTCTTCAAGCTCGCCAATGTAATGACTCCCTTCTCAGAATCCATCAACAAGCGAAACCCATTACACAGCTCGTTCACGAAACCTTCTGCACCCAGTTTCTCTACCATAGACGGGAAAAAATCTTCAAATGCAACCTCACTTTCTGTCGCCATTATTGCTCGGAAACAGAAAATCTTTTCGAAAACTCTCGGGAATATTTTGGAAACTTGAAAGACGAAGGGATTTTATAATGTTATAAGAGAAGAGAAAATTATGAAGAAGTAGAAGAAAAGTTGGTGTGTATGCAAGAAGCTGCATGGAAACTTAGTTTGAGCTATCAGATTGGTAATCATGCTAAGCATTTTCTAGCTTTCTTCCTCACGAAACTATTATTTATGGCAACAATTTTCAATAACTTTTTTGGCACGCTATATAAATATTGGGGATTGGGGAGGTGGATCCACGTTCACACTTTTAATTTGAATAATACTATTTATTTCGATGATCAGTGAACGAAGTTTACGTTCTTTTTACTGTTTTCAGATCATTTTCAGTTTTCGATTTTCGAAAATACGTTTACTTACCCATTTTTAGAAATGAATTTCCAAAAGCGACTTTAAAATTTACAAAGAAAATAGAAAACCAAAAAAAAAAAATCGTTTTTGCTGTTTTCAGTTAAAATCAAGCCAAAACTTCATTTTTTTTTTAAATAATTTTTCTAAATGACAAAAAGAACGTGTTATCAGTAATTATAAAATGGACACTCAAAACACAAAATCCAAAATGAATTCAAAACTCAAAACTAAAAATTGTAATATGAAGAGAGCAACCCCTAAATTTTTAATATATTTTGATAAAAGTGATGAAATGCGTGGTTAAGTGTAGGTTCTACGAAATATGTAATTAAAATGAATTGAAAAGAAAATAGTGATCAAATATGAACTAAATATATGTTTAGACAAAATTTAAATCTTAGACGAAATGATTCAACGATGAAGTCATTGAAAGCTGTAAGCGAGGGTTCATTAGACATGCAAAGTAATGAATTAGGCATAGCACATTGATATCGATATAAATTATATAATCTTGACATTTTTTTCTTTTCATATTTTTCAATTAATATTTCGAAATATGTCTTACAAGCTGAATTTCTCCGAAAAATCAGTTGAATTACATGTACCAAGTTTTGCCATGACAAGCAATACCTAAACTACTTCTAGTAGAAGTTTAATATTTTTAAAATATTCTAGAAAAATGTTGGAAATGGGTCAAGTTTGACCAATAATTTGGGTGAGACTCGGTATCCGTTTTGTGCGGGTCAATGGTCAAACGCATTCTACTCCACGAGTAGATATTCGTGATATATTTA